TCCTCTGGCTTCACGGTCTCCTCCCCATGCGGCGTCTCCTCCACACGCAGTGTCTCCTCTGGCTTCACGGTCTCCTCCCCATGCGGCGTCTCCTCTGGCTTCACAGGTTCATCCACATACAGAGATTCCTCTGGCTGCCTAGTCTCCTCAATATATAGTATATCCCCAGGCTTCTCAGTTTCTTCCTCATACCATGTCTCGTCTAGGTCACCTGTGTCCCCCAGGTAGAGAATGTCCTCCAAGTTCAAATTTCCTTCAAAAGATAGAGTAACTTCAGGGTTGAAGGTCCTTGCCTCATTCGTGGGTTTAGAGTTCTCTTGAAGACGAGAATTGGCCTCTGCTTGTGTTTCCCTGCAACAGAAATTATTTAAAGTAAGAGCAGCCACAATCCCATAATGGTGCGTGACTGGAGCCATTAGGCCACAGGCCCAGATTCAGTTTCTCACATCTCAGGGCATTTGTCTGCTCCCTCCTCTCTGTCCATCTGTCCCCAGATAGCCCATTGCTTAGATTCCCTGACTTCATCCCCATGATGCTAGTATCTTATCTCTGCTTACCCTGAGGACAGGACGCACACACTCCAGCCATCATTGTTTGTTCCATGGCCACGAGAAAATTCTATTATTGAGGTGAAACCTTTTCAATTTTTACCTACATTTGATTCTTCTTTTTAGAATCTGACAAATCTAACTTCTTTTCTCTGTAAGTTCTTTAGAAAAAAAAAACAAAAGATTTATTCATTTATGTATATATGAACTGGGGAACAGGCCAGAGGAGAGAGGATTCACCAGAGACAGAGTGGGGAACAGAATAGGCAGACTGATTAAAACACACTGCTGAGGGGAGCAGCAGGTGGTTCAGGGGAGGTCTGCTGTCCATGTGGGGAAGCTCTCTGAGCAGGGATCAAACTTGTGCGATTGCTCCACCAGGCAAGGCCCCATCTTTCCTGTTTCAACTGTATCTTATCTACCTTGAATCTCTGAGCAATTCTTTGAAAATATAAAATACTATGTAAATAATACAGGTCAGGAAGCTGAGGCTAAGTAATTTGCTCAGGGAAATAGTGTACAACTGCTAAAAAACAGACTAAATTTGAGTGTAGCAATCAAACTTTTTTCTTTAGATATAAAGTATTACTGCAAAGCCCAACATATCAAAGAATTTTATTTACTATCTTAAAAAAGCCTACTTGTGTCCAGGTCTTAAGCTCTGTATCTTAACGCCAAATTCCCAACAAAGATTATTTCTATTCTAAATTATTTTATACTGTCTTCCTCCCTAATATCCAAGGGGCCCTGGCTTCCCTTTCTGCCTCTCATGTGGCCCTCTGGAAAGCACAAAAGTGGGCCTTCCCCAAGTCCCAGCTCCCTGGCCTCATGTAACCCAGCACCTGCACCAAAAAAAGTTTGACGACAACCTCAGCAGCCACCTAATACGTTCATGTTACTTTACCAGAAAGGAACTATTTTGTGCTATCTTGACGTGATGTTGCTTGGCACCTCAAACTCAGCTGCCCCCAAATTTCTCTCCCCCAGCTTGTACTGTATTCTTCAGCTCAGAAAAGCACATCACCATACACCAAGTTGCCAAAGCAAGGAATTTTTAGTCTCCCCTGCATAGCCAGCTCACTGAGAACTGGTCTTTGCATCAGAAAAACATGTCCATCCCTCTCTTCAGCCCACTGCCAGGGCCCTCGTCCAAGTCATCTGTTACCTGCATTTCTGACCAGCCTTCCAGCAGCCCATTTCCTCCTCTTCAGGCCATTCTACTCTGCTAGCTACAGCCGCTAGCTTGCTACAGCACAAGTATGGCAGCTTGCTCACTTCACCCACAGGTAACCAACTGCTTCGCGTAGATTGAAGGCCCTTAAAAATGTGGTCCCACTTACGCCTAGGTTTCTATCTCTGTAGTCCCACCTAGGATGTTCCACATGCTGATTTTAAAATAAACTGCAAAGAACTGAAAAAAAAAAAAAAAAGTGGTCCCAACATGCCTTTTTAGCCTCCTCTCACATCAGGCCCCCGTGCTTGATAGTCCAGAACATCCAGTGAATTTTTATACCGCCTGTTCTAGCACACAGTGTCTAGCAGATCCAACTGAAAAAAGTCAGGTTAGTGTACACCTGACTGGAGAACAGCCCTGTGCTGCCAGAGCTCCTGGCGGCAGAAAGGACACACCTGCTCAGCCAGCCAGAGTCCTGCTGGATACTGAGCAGGCCCTACTTTTCCAAGGGTCCTCCCATGCACCATGCTCCCAGGAGCACCCCACTCTACAGTCATCTTACTGCCCCAGCAGGATTCTAAGCCTTTGATTTTTTTTTATTGTTTTACAATTGTTTTCAGTTGATGTGACATCAATTTATTACACTGCATAAGTTCCAGGTGTACAGCTTTATACTCCAGCAGCTGTCCTAAGCATTTTCCATGAAGGCTCATTTATATTGTACTCACCTATTATCCCCATTTCCTAGATGAGGAAACCCAGGCACAAACAGAGGCTCCCCAATTCCCAAGTGGTGCAGCCTGGGCCAGTGGCGTGTGGCCTCAGAGTGGGACCTTTTTCCTATGTCTTAGTCTCTTCTTAGGGTATCCACGAGGTCTACAAGTGGGAAAACCAGCTCGGTGTGTATAGCAGAGCATGGCACATGGCATCCAAAATATATTTCTATCTATTTTACTAACAAATTTCTATTTATCCTTCAGGTCCTGCCCAAACCCCATCTCCATGGTGAAGTATTTCCCAGAAACCCCCCGTCTTGTGTTCTCCCAGCTCTTGGTGTGTACTCCATCGTCCCTGGAGGTGCTATGCAGGACAGAAGGGCAAGGGCTGCCTGCCCTGGCAAGGGATTTCCTCAGGACAAGCAGAGTTATTCTCTAGATGCCAGGGTGGGGCTCTGGGGATGGCAGCAAAATCTGACAGGGATCCAGGGAGGAAACGCCCAAGGTCGAGTGGCTGGAAGTAGAACTCAGGCCTCCCGACCTCAGGCCCTGTCACCACACCTGCTGTTGCCTCAGTCACCCCAGCCAGCCAACTGCCCGCCACAGCGCCAGGCAGCAGCGCCAGGCATCGGCAAGGTGCTGCCCTCACAAGCTGCCTCTCCTGAAGGAGCTGGCGGAAAGTAAATTTCCAGAGGCTGAGGGGCAAGAGGCAGCTCATTGGGGCTCCTGCCCACAGGCTTCCCTGCACCCTCACAGCCTGCCTCTGCCATCTGTCCTTGTCCCCAGAGGACTCCAGTCCCTCCAACTGCTCAGGCCTGTGGCTGGGGGTGTTGGTGACACAGTGCAGGCGGGAGTGGGCGTGTGTCTGGCGGTACAGTGAGTGTGAGACTCCGCTCAGCTTGGCGCCACGTGTGACAGTGAAGGGGTGTGAGGTGTGTTATCTGCACCTCCACCTCTTGGTTCACTGGGAAGTTCTGGGGCCACAATGACCTGGGACTGAAACACACCCCCACTGGCCCCAAGCCCTTCAGCCACAGGTCCCTTCCCCTAACCAGTGGTAAGGTGGCAGTGTGGAGAGGTGGGAGTGGGCCTCCCTGCTCCAGCGCCCAGCCAAGCCCAGGCCCTGGCCGGGTCTTGGACAGCAGCCCTCCCCCCACCCAGCCCAGGCCCTGACCGGAGAGGACAGGCTGCCCAAGAAGACTTAACTCCAAGCTGGCCGAAGTCCAGCTTGCACCAAGTGTCTTCCACTCAGAGAATTCAGCAACTGGAGGCCTCCATTTCCAATTGACATTTGGGGTGCGGAAGAAAAGAAAACTAGGTGCATCTTTGGCCGTTAGGAGCCAAAGGGCGTTTGAGTATTGCTCCCTGGTCTGAAAGGTTTAATTGCAGCCGAGCCGGGGGTTGAGGGGGCATATTACAAAGGCAGAGGCGACCGGACGGCCTCTCAGCTGCCCGATCTCCCTCCGCCTGGAGGCTCCGCCCTGCCCCACCCGGCG